GGAAAACCTACAATACTGAAAATGGGGGATTTCTTTGTGCCGGGAAAGGCAATGAAAAATCAGGAAATTTGGAAATAATTTTTGGAAGTTAGAAAAAATTATTAAACAATAAGACTAGATATCATTCCTAAACAAATGCACAGCGTAATTTTTTGTTCAATTTCTATTTCTTGAGTTTTTTTAATTTGTACTTTATCACGGCGAAATCGAGGTGATGACAAATTGGTGTGAAATACTACATATCTGATCAGTTAAACATTTTTAAAATGCTCTGAAAATCCGGGAAAAGTGTTGGAAATTTTAGTGTTCAGGAAATGAGTGGCAACACTGACGTAGAATTGTAAAACAAACTTCGTTATTTTCTTGGAATAATTTTAAACCGTTGCTTGGTCATTGTTTCTTGTGACACCTCTATGGATTTTATATATTACCAGCTAAGATATTTTGCCATCATTTCAGCGGTGTCAATTAATCATTGAAAAATAATGTTGTTTAATTTTCTTCATGCTTAATTAGAAAGTACCACACCTTCATATTTGCCGTTACTTTTTTCCATTTTCACATCATTTAAACATCTTTTATCTCATTTACCCGTCATTAAATCGAATGTATTCTATTCATAAATGGTATCAATAGTTGTAAATTTTACTTGAACATTTATTTCTGCCTTTGAATAAAACCAATCTTTAATTTCAGATCACAGGTGTGAGGTGGGCCATATTATGAACACGCGCCGATAATACGGTTACATGGCCAGCTTTTGAGAAACTCTTGACCTTTTGGACTCGCCGAGATTGTTAATATGTGTAAAGAGTCCGTAATATAGACAACTTTTCAATCAACTACGGTAAACTTTTAATTTTTGTTTCGGGCAAAGCAAATGTTGAATCCAATATGTATATCATTTGAAGTAAGTGTTTCAATTTCTTAAATTAATTCATTATTTCAATTCATGATAAAATAGAGCAAACCATTTGTATATTTCTAAGATGATTCTTAGGACTTAATCTATTGTATTTTCTATTATCAATCCTCTGTATACAAATTACCAGTTCGTGTTTGTTGTCCTGACATTGACGATATCTCTCAATGCCCGTCGCCACCGTTACTTTTGTCGCATCGAAAGTCCTCGTAACCAACCACTGGTCCGCTATACAGGAATGCAAGGTCCTGTGCTTCCGAAACTAATTACCCATAAAGATGTATTTTCGAACATATGTTCACTAGACAATGTTTTGAATATTTTCCTATTACGAATCTCTTTTCTGAGTTTACGCACATTTTTTAACTCTCCGTGAATAAATATTTCTAATAAAATTGTAAAATCATGTGACACAAGTGTTTTACTTAATAGTGTACTTCTCACGTAATAAAGAGAAACTATTGTAATTCTGCAAGGAAAAACGGCAATTTTTCAATCGAAAAACGCGTGTTGTGGATACCTGTTATCGAAAATGTGGATAATTCTTTGTCCCATATTTAGTAAATTACTTCTTCTAATTAGTTATGTGGTCAGAATCCACATTTTGTGGATCTTTGATACCGAGAATTTTGTTTACAGTAAAACATCTGCTTGTATGTCCGTCTGTCCCTCCATCTGTGAACAACTTTCTGTGCTAAAGACAGGATTTTCACCAGAATCGACAACCCCTTATCTACATGGCTGATTAGCTGCTTCTCCGATTTCAAACGGATATTTCGATTTTTTCGGTAGGTATTTTATTCGAAGACTCAACAACAATTTCAAAACTCTTGCAGATAAGGATTTAAATGCTTTCTTTAAAGTTCTTGTAACAATAGAGTTAAACACACTTATAAATAGAGCGTAGGTCCAATTAATGTTATGAACTTATAAGTCGGAAAATGTCTCAGGGGCTTCGTGGAAAGAGCACCCAAAATTAAAAGATTGCGTTACCAATTCCCAGGGCGTCGGGGCGAGTCAGATCGATTGAGGAATGGTAATTTTGGAACGAATTCTACTAATATTTCAACTGCTACTGTTGCTTACGAACTGATACACGGGCGGGCAGACGGATAGACAGCCAAACGGCCGGGCGGATCAACAGACAGACGGACGGACGGACAGGACAAGTAGATGGGCGGACGGACGGGCAGACAGACGGACACACGGACGGACAGAAGAATGGATGGATGGACAGGAGGGAGGACAGACGGACGGACAGACAGAAGAAGAGACGGGGGGACAGACAGGACAGATGGGTGGACAGACAGAAGGACAGAGAGATAGACAGATGGACAGAGAGATAGACAGATGGACAGAGAGATAGACAGACGGACAGGGAGATAGACTGACGGACAGGGAGATAGACTGACGGACAGGGAGATGAACAGACACAAACAGACGGACAAATAGACCTCTGGAAGCAGACGCATTGTAAAAAACGGACGCTTTGAAACAAACGATTTTTTGGCACCAGGAGATCTAAAATTGTGTTTCTCCGTTACAGTCTGGACGATGATTTTCTGCAAAAGTACATGACTTTTTCTATATCTCGTTTGTCATCTCAAATTAGGCGAATGTCTAATAAGCTATAGTCTAAATATGGAACCCCGCTTTTGTAAAAAAAAAGAATTTTAAGAAATTTAAAAAATGTCGCACTTGCTCTGCCCGGTGATATCGAGTAACCGACTGATTACAATGAGTATCGGGGGGGGACCCAATTATTCAAAGAAGGGTTATTCACATTCTCATTTAATACACTACTCAATAATAATGACCTCTTCCCCTCATTCTGTTTGCGGTTCTTACATTTTCTTAATGAAATGGATTTGATTTTCTATATATAACGCATCCATCGTTGGAAATCAGCTTAACCAGCACATAATGTTTCGGGCGTTACCCTGTACAACAAAGAAAGTTACAGAACCCCGTCTCAACTTGATATGGAGCGCCCTCCCTTCTGTTTGTAGAGCTCTCGCGAGCAGCGCACCCGCGAAGTTTTCCAATCGGGGCGTCTCCTCAGCTGTGGCACAGAGAACAGCGATCCCCAGGCGGAAAGGTTGCAGGTGGCAAGACCGCGTTGCGTAGTTAGGACCCTGAAATGAAAATCAAAATAATTAGTGGAATTAATCGAAACATGTGTTCTGAAAAGCTCATCTTTGCGGATTAGTCTGATTATACGTAGTTCTCCCTCAGACTCGCCGTTGCCAAATATTCAACAAACTGTGACTATATTACACTTTCTTTCTTCTAAATGTGAAAAATAATTATGTAAATCTTTCAACTACGAATTTTGTATTTGTGTAATTCTGCACTAACGATTATTGTTATTGTTATTATTATTATTATTATTATTATTATTATTATTATTATTATTATTATTAGCATATCGGCCATTTCTGACAGCGCTACACGTTCTCTTTCGAGACCGAGCTATCATTTATCGTGGAGAGAGAGATGTGATTATGGTGATCAGCTTTCCAGCTGTACCCCTTTATAAAACAAGGTTGTTAAGCCTTGAATTATGAATTATGAGGTGATACGATGATCAGGGGCGATCGTCGCCTTTTTTGAACCATCACAGCATTCGCCTGTATGACCGAAGGAAACCACTATAAACCCGGTCAGGATGGCCGGCCCGAGGATCGAACCTAGGCCATGCGTCTCACCGCGGTACGCACTGAGCAGTTGGCTTGGTTTATTATTATTATTATTATTATTATTATTATTATTATTATTATTATTATTATTATTATTATAACTATTAAACAAAATGTAAGAGTAACACAAAAACGTCCAGAACTCTGGGGACCTGTGTCATCAAGCAGTCAAACATCAAGAATCGCAAAGCACTCAAACATTCCTACACGAGAATTGACTACCTACAGTGGTTCAAGTGATTCTACAAGAGGTTGAAACGTTTCACAGTGTTTCAAGTGATGTGCTTTCCGACCACAAGGATGCTCATCACTTCGATTTCTGCTACGATGCACGCGCAGGATTTTCTGACTGAGAATAGAGCGAGAAAATAATTAAAATATGTCAATTTGTGGTGTTTTAATTAGATTTCTGCAAGTGCTAGTAGGGCATTACCCCAACGCGAATTCTTCTACTTTCAACGCTGACACCCGTAATGAAGAAAGAAAAATACAAATAGAAATATGTTCAGCTTTCTCAGAAAAAATGTTCCAAATTTCTAGGACAGAGATAAAAAAATGATCACATTTTGCCAATTAACATGTGGCGAGCAATTTAGTTTAAAGGAGTTATGTGCATTTATATATGTGGCCCTATTTACCCCTAAATTACAGGCAACCTTGCATGCATCGATGTTCGGCAAATCACGTTCTGACGCAGTCAAGGAGATTTCATGTGCCTGGCAAATATCTGCGCATACGAGTTAGTCTAAAAGTCACGGGCTACATACACAGTACAAATGCACTTAACTCAGTTATTTTCATTTCTACACTAAATTTTCATTGTCAAAACTTTTCATTTTTCGTCCCCTTTCCATACTCTAGAAGCTTGTAGCATTTATTCTGAGACACCTCTATACGGCATATTTTATTTATATTTTTGTTTGAGTAGTATACTGTATCTACTTTTGCTTATCTCACGATACGGTACTGCTCCCAGCCTTTTTCGTATATTGTAATATTAGTGAAATTATACAAATATCCACCCTTTTAACACAGAATGCCTCCTTGGAACCACAACTTCGATTCACCTCTACCGTCCAGCGCGAATCTCTCCACGGCAAGGGATTTTCCCCTGAGCGACGGGATGCTGTGTTAAGACTGAGTTAAGTCACCTTAGCGTCACCCTGAACTGTTCAGTTGCTACCGCGGTGACGCACGAGCTCCCTTTATCCTTTCACCTGCATCGGAATGCCGCCGCGGCAAGTCTACACCTCCGCGTTCAAAGGTCGACGTCTTGCTCGTGTGTATTTGTCGAATGTGTGTATTGTGCGTGGCTGACCGCCCTCTGTGCGGCGTGTGCGAGGCGAGGGACTGAGAGCGGCGTGGCGTTGTGTGCGCAGGAGTTCGTGCTCGGTGCCCATGTACGTGGGCGGGGCGCCGGCGCACGCCGCCCCTAGCAGCGCCGCCGCCGCCGCCGCCGCCGCCGTCGCCGCCGCCGCCGCCGCCATGGACATGCAGCCCATGGACGCCGTGTGCGATCCGTCGCGCAAGCGCAAGAGCTCCTACAAGTGAGTACCCGCCCCCTGCGGCCGGCCTCAGCGACTCTAGTAATCTGAGTGCCGAGATCGCCTCGTCGGTCTCTGCTCGAATGGTAACGGGTTCGAATCCTGCCTCGCGGGCATAGATGTTAGATTTTGTGCAGTGGCGAGGCCGGGGTTTTTCCAGTCCGCTATGTATCACCTAAAGAAATAACCTTTCCTCCCTTCTCCTGGTTATAAAGTGGGTGTGTGACTGTAAGAAGTTGGGGGACTGTGTGGGGACAGGAGAAGAAAGCGTTGTTAATGAGCCTTTGCCACTACCCTTCTTCCCCTAGCCTCTCTTCTCCACTCTCCACATCTACCACTTCCCTTCCCAAAGCTTTCAGTTTCGGCATCTCTCACTTTTGATCGCACTCCCTTCCCCCTCTCTTTTTCAATGGCCCATCTTTCTCTGCTTGCTTCTTTCCCTCCTTTTTCCCCTCTTGCTTCACTTCCCACTTGTTCCCCCTTTTTCTTTCCGTTACATCCCTCTCTCCTCTATACCTCTCTCCTTGCTCCGACTCACAACATGGATCGTGTTTTTACATGTTTTCAGATGAGAATATTTCATGTGACTGATGAGTTACGATAAATGAATACAGGCTTACTTGTATTATTAATATTATAATTACATCTCCACTCTTTATTTTACGCACTTTGATTTATGTATTAACTAAAGCTTGACACTTATTTACAGGGCAGGCTTTCATATTAATGCGTAGAATAGTCCTGCACTGCTGAATATGATTTCCCAGTATCTAAAGTGATCTCGTATGGTCTTTCCATATTAATGAAACCTACTTTATACTCATTCATATTTACTACACTGTTATTTACTCTCTTGACGATGTCAATATTGTAAGATTGAGAACAAAACTTACAAGGGACATCTTGACGTCTCTTCAACGAGCACAACAAATTTAATTTGCTAGTTCTGCTCTAATAAATATATGACCCATGACAATAACAGTGCGTTCGTTGTAACGCCGGAGAGAACATTGTTGAAAAAAACACCAACCACAGCATACATAAATAAACAGTTGTTAAAATATTTTGTTGTAAAAGAGATTCGTTTCACGTGGAGCAGTGTTTTCCACACTAATTTTCTACTTTCATCTTAATCTTATCGTACATTTTATTACGCAAATTTACCCGATATTTCTACTCCTGTTTGTGCATAAAGGCCCATTCAGAATGCAAACGTAAGCATAAGCATGGCGTTGACATAAAAGTTAGGACTTCGTCCATAAGCGGACTCATTTACAATGCGTTCGCATAAGCATAACACGTAAGACGTTAACGTAAAAGCTTGAAAGCTTCAAGCTTCTGTGCTTATGCTTACGGAAGACAAGAAATTAACCACTCACAGAAAGGTAACTCAAAATCGAGAATCGACATTGGAGCGAAGTCGATAGAAGAACTAACGTCATATGGGACATAGAGTCGATATCTTGAAATCGACTCTCACATCCAACCAGAAAGTCTCACAGCCAATAGGAATTTATTCTGCTTACGTTTATGTTAGGCATTCTGAATACTTCAGTTTATCGCTTATGTTAATGTTTATGTCTGTGCGCTATGCTTATGTTTACGTTTGCATTGTGAATGGGCCTTAAAATGTAACTAATTTATTCAAATGACATTTCATTAAAAATACGTGATGAAGATTATAAATATAATTTTACTCTTCAGATTATCCTTTCGTAAGACTTCTAATTTAAGAGTTGAAAATTTGGAACGCGCTGGCATGACATCGCTATGCAACCCGCATCGTATCTTTCTCTTGGCACATCGATCGCACTTAAGTCAGAAATGGTGCAATCTAAGACCATTCTGTAATACGTTCGTTCGATCGACCATGGCGATGTACCCCCAATTACACTTTAGATGAAAGTAAAATTTCTTATCTTTGTGATGTTAAGAAAGATTTGGCCCTTACCGGTTTATTTAAAAAACTATGTTTAAATAAAATAAGTACAGGCTCTTATGGAGAAACTTTCGCGGGCATACGTTCTTTTTCCAGATATTGAAGAAGTATTATGATCAGCGTACCTTTTTATTTTATTCGATAAGTAAAAATGTTTAAAAAAATCAAATGATATGAAATGAAACACCTCACCGCGCGTTCTGAAAATAAAAAAAATCTGCTGCGTAATTCATCGCAACTGAAGTATAGGCCCCTGGCTAGTTGCAAATCATCCTTCTGTCAGCACTATCTTAGGGTATTTCTACTGAAAACCGCGCTAAATTAGAATTTGGAATCACATGTACCCTCAAATTCTTGACTATAATTTATTTTCGATTCAAAAAGGGGAATTTTATTCAACGTTGAAAGAAAGAAAATCGCGAGAACCAAAATCACTATAACCTATATTAGTATTGCCAATTTACGAAAGTAAAAAATCGAATGCGACTAAATTTAATATTACTATCGTTTTTCTATAGCTGCATTTCAATATTTCTCTGTTAAATATTTACAAGTAAATATGTAACGGCTCTAGTCAGACTTAGAGGCAGCTATTGTTAATTTGCAGATGTAATAAATGATTGATTATTTGACCAGCGACTGGCACGTATGTACTACCTTAAAACCTGCTGTTCGATGCTATTTAGGAATGCAAATAATATTCCTTAACCCGTAATCTAAACAATGAGACATTTGTGTGTATATTACATTTTTGGGATTAGCTCTTAGAATACCCTCACTCTGAAGTACAGGTGGTCAGAAAAGCGGGGAATCTCAAATCTATGCATACGTGAATTTGCTGTCTGATAGATGTTTCTGTTAAACACTCTTAGCAAAATGGGAATTAATATCCACGCTTAGTATTTTTCCTGTAAGATGTAACACACAGAAAAGGTCCCAGCTGTACATCGATTTATGAAGTGCGAAGTATTTATATTAGCTCGAGTTATGGTAATGTCTCATCATTGAATACAACGTTGTGTGACTCTCAAGATTGCAGTGGTGTAACGTATAAAAATATATATGTCCCTAAGTGGATAAAAGTTTATATATTTAAAACAAATTTATTAAGAGGTTGATCTTAATTTTATATCGTTCAGCTATTTGACTCTTTCGAATTTAAGTGAACACAAAATACTTAACACAACACTGACCGACAGACTATCCATACAGTATAATATAGATGGGGAAACTCATTTGACCACCTCCAATTGATTTAGTGACTTCCGGATACCTCCAATGTAATGTGTGAGAAACTAGTAGAGAGGTTATCGGTTTCTAAGTGTGGAGGTTGGGGGTAGAATTGGATTGTTTGTTAGTCCTCACAGAGAAAGGACGGTGCATACCACGATTTCGAAGGATTTGATGAAGGTAGGGGGCCGAGCGACGCTTCGCGCGTAAGACTACATGAATGTAAAGTGTTCGTCTTACGTAAGCGAGAAATGACTGGAAAAAACGAACGCCCGCGAAGGTGAGAGACGCAGCCCCCGCCGCCGCCGCCGCCGCCGCCGCCGCCGCCGAAAAAAGAGGAAGTCGCGATGCACCGGGTTCGTGTCCTTGCTGGTACCTTCACCTCCCGCCAGCACGTGTGGCCTCGACCGCCTCACGAGCTTCTGGCCCTGGATTCACGCTTTCCGACAAGGGTGTCTCCCGGTCGCACTCACCAAGAATTACGCCCTTCTTCGGGGTCTTGGACTAGGCACGAGACGTCGACGACAAAACATCGATGTTTCGAAACATAAGATTATAAATAGATAAGTAACTATTGAAGTTTACGTGTGTGAGAGATGTAATTTAAAAGTGGTATAGTTATTTTGTATTGAGATTTATCTGACAAAACAAGTAAAAAAAGGGTGATTCTTCTTCCTTTTTAACGGTTTAAGCCAGAAGTGCTGTTCCGGCTTTACTCCATCGTTGCCTTGGTCGACCAAAATCTCTTTCTCCAGCTGGTCGTCAATGGTAGGCCACTTTTGTGAGCATAATTTGTGTTCAATCAATTATAGCACCACATTCAAGAAAAAATAACAATGATAGTTCTCATTAATCTAATGTTTGTAATACAGAGAACACGTTTATACACCGTTTGGATCATAAAGTCTATAGCGGAGAAAGTCTAAAGGCGACTCCACACATGCGGCATTCGGCGAATCCCCAGCAACCGCTCGGCAAATCCCGAGTAGTGTGGACGGGTTGCTTGCGATTCCCAGAGCGCTGAACATTCGGTATTCGCCCTACCCACCGCGTGTCGGTCTTTAGGACACATCGAAGGGAGCGAACATTCGCCGAACACATCAGTTGTTTGAGATGCGGCGTTCGGCGAATCCAGAGCAACCGCTCACCGAATCCCGAGTAGTGTAGACAGGTTGATTGCGATTCGCCGAGCGCCGAACATTCGGTATTCGCTCTACCCACCGCATGTCGATCTTTACGACACATCGAAGGGAGCGAACATTCGCCCAACACATCACCTGTTCCGGCAGTAGCTCGCTGCTCGGCGAATGCCGAATGTTTGGAGCTACCTTACGATGTCAAAAAGTAAGGAATGTGGTTCGTCATTGTTTCGTCATTGTCCCGCGCCGTGTCCCGCCTCCCGTCCGCGCCGCGTCGGCGTCTCCTCCCGCACTCCGGCGCCCTTGGTTCGCCCTCGGGGGCGGGGGGCATTAAATCGCCGCCGTCGCCCGCAATGGGCGATCGTCGACTTGCAGATGGCGAGCCGGCGGCGCGCCCTGCAGACGCGTCTGCATCCGGGGGGCTGGGCGCGCGAGGGGGGCGGGCAGGAAGTTGACGCTCTGCAGACAGGGACGGACGCGTCTCCCCTAGCGTCGAAATTGTCCAAGCGAAACTGTTGCGACGCATTGTATGTATTTAGTGCTCTTTATTGTATTATTGTGTTAGGTGTGTAATGAGTGTGAAGAATTTGCCGTCGGGCTTAATGCCCGAAGAAACTTAAATAAATTATCTATCTACATACCTATCTATCTTCTGCCTATCTATCTATCTATCTATCTATCTATCTATCTATCTATCTATCTATCTATCTATCTATCTATCTACAGACCTATCTATCTAACTACATACCTATCTACATAACTATCTATATACATACCTATCTATCTATCTACGTACATATCTATCTACTTACCTATCTATCTAGCTACGTACCTATTTATCTACCTACATACCCATCTATCTATCTACATACCTATCTATCTATCTACATATCTATCTATCTATCTATCTATCTACATACCTATCTATCTATCTACCAAACCGTTGCAATAGAGAGACCGCAGCAGACAAGAAAGAAATTTCAGCCATTTTCAGAAATTTTTGAAAATACCCTAGGTGCTTTAGGTGAAGTGCTGCCAACGTGGGATACTGTTAGCCGTGGAGCCCATCTCTAAAGAATCATTTTTTTCAATTGTTACATTCATTTGGGACCAAAAGCTGTATAGGACTTAGTGACTAATTCAGGTACCTCTTCGTGTGTGTAAATTGAAAATGTTTCTTCATCATGTACATTTTTTTTGCAGATGAGTGATTCGTTATTTTCTAGAAAATCGGAAAATTAATAGTAATGTTATTATTGGTTTCAGACAGAATCAATTATTGCCTTGGATATTCCCTTGTATCAACTTCTTGATCTTGTCTCGAACATTGATACCGATAAATTGTGTGATTTGTCAGTTTTAATCTTTCTGCAATAGTGACAACGTATTTATTAGCTCTGGAAAAATGACTACTAGAGATTGTGTAAACTGATTATACAGTTTCTGTTTTATTTGAGATTAATATGCTAATAAAAAGAAACTAAGAAGTAGAGATCAGTAACTGACGAAATTATTAGACTATTTTGTACTAAAATTGGATAGTATAGACAAAAAGCAGATTCTTTATAAATTGTACAAAATGTGAAGATCTTCCTGTTATTTAAAGGTACAATGTATCGTGTTGTTGTGGAATATAATGTGGCGTGAGGAATGATATCACAGGGATATCTTCTATTTTTGTTCAATTTTGAGAGAAGCTTTGTCATACGTATATCTACAGCAGACAAACCAAAAGAGAAAACACAACCAAACTTATTCCGCCCATTTCCTCTCAGTAGTGACATACTAATATAAAATACGATGGTCTTGTTTAAGTAATATTACATTAGATATGGATGTTTGAATAACAGTATTTGCTGAAGAATCTAACTCAGATTTTGAAGTGAAAGAGGGGACCTTAACTTTTTTCTCAAAATGAGCTTCATGATAGGCTTTTTTAAGATATTTTGGTCTTAAAATATGCAAATGAGTTGGTTAATCTAAGGTAAAAATAAAAAAGAAATTCCTGATTCATCATTCTCCTGGTACAAATATCATGAGAAAGAATTCGTTTCGTATTTCTCCGAGGGCGGCCATCTTATTTACTGCAATGGTATTTACGTTCTTGAATAATTTCTTAATATACAATGTAAAAATTAAAATAATGACTATACTTATAGAACAACTATTAGTGAACACAAGATATCTCTTCTTTCTTTGCTTGTGAAACAGTGGGAAAATAGATGCTCATTAAGAAAAAGAAAACTGTCCTTTTCAAGATGCTCTTACTCCGATCGGACGAAAAATTTCAATTTAAACTTGGTATCCTTTGACAATGTTCTCGTATTCCTCTTCACACACTTAATATGGAGTCTACCAATTCATGAAATCGCCCTCACAAGAAAAGAACTTTTTTCAGTTCTGTGCACCAAATACCCCGCACTTTGTGAAGAAAAATTGAATGAGGAAATGTTTGTCCCCATGAAGTCAGATAAATTATTCACTGAAATGGTCAATGAAGCTGACAAAGAAGTTTTAGAATCATAGAAGGAGGTCATAGATTCTCTGATAACAACAAAGATTCCAACGACCAGCTTCGTTATACGTATGCCTACAGCATTTAAAGCTCAAAGTTGTAAAGTGAGCTTGAAATTGCATTACAAGCATTCTCATGCAAACCACTTCCCAGAGACGTTAGGAGACTTCGTTAGAGAGCAAGAGGAAATAGTTTACCCCGTCGAAAAAATAAACGAAAGAAATTCAAAAAAGAGTGAAAAATTTTGAGAGAGGTTACGGAGAAAAAATGTCTGTGCTGAGGATGTGTGTCCTTATTAACTGCTGGATGAAAAAGCGCGAACCTTCGGCTCTTACAAAATGAATCGGACAAGAACCATGAAGAAAAAAAAAGTGACAGAAGCAAGTTCAGATGAATTTGCGAATAATGTAAGATTTTGTCTTAGTTTCCCTGAAAAAATGCTTCTAAGTGGCTTAACAATGAAAATGTTTACTCTTTATGACCGAGTACACATCCTAGCTACTCTGCTATTGCAAAGAAAACTGAAGATTAAAGAAAAAAACGGTTTCAATATTTGGCTTCAGTGAACTCAAAAAGATACATACCAGTTGAAACGAATGCAGTGTTCAGGCTTTTTCAGAACTATATTGTCAGACATTACTGCAAAATCGCGTCATCATGCTTAGCGTGTGATGTGTTAGTAGTGAACAATATCCCGTCAAGGCAACATGCTTATGATAGCACTTGCTTTTTTGCTCCTGAAACTTTCAATTGAGGGTGTTGTAAACCGACGTAGTAAAGTTCGGTAAGTACACATTTGTCGTTTTTTAATTGTAATGTAAGGAAGATGTAGTTACCCAAAATATTATTGAGCTCTTGAATGTTCATAAACTCCAAAATACTACCTACTTTGGCCCCACAACTTTACGCCACAAAGGTAGAGAGACAAAACTAGGGAAAAGAAAACAAAGAAAAAAAACGTGGATTACTTATTAAAAGGTGGACATTGTAATGCTTGTTGTCTTACTCGATCTGACCAAAGAAATTTGGTGTTTTCAAATAATGAGGATGACGGCTACGACACAGTCTTTGAGGAAAAGTATAATGTGGGTCACAGAAGCTCAAGCAATGTAAGCCTGAGAAATCCAGAAAACCAAAAAATAAAAATTGGAAAATGAAAATTATATGGTTGTTAGTTGGAATGGTTAAGAGTTTTCGGGGTTGGAACCCTCGGGTACCTAGTACCCAATACCCATGAAATAATTATATGCGTCGTCATTGCCAACAATATTATTTATTAAAAATAATGATAAAAACCCAATACCCATACCCAGTGGTATCTGTGGAAGAAGGAGATTCTACTGTTGCACGCAACATACAAAATGAGACATTAAGAAAATGAACCTTCAAAGTCTGTTAAAAGGGGTCCTTTACTTGTCGACAAAATTTAAGGTGTACGATTTAAAAAGAAAAAAAATAATAATAATAATAAAAAAAATTAAAGCCTTGTTCTAAAATATGTCAAGTTAGTTTTAAATATATTTTCATTTCGAACTTGATGAACGTAATGAACCAGTATGTTTAAAAAAAAATAGCAATAATAATTGTAATTTTTGGAAAGTTATTGTATAATTTTATAAAAATGGACCGAAGTACCGTACTCAGCGCTCACGTACGTCTTGAAAATTAAAAGAAGTCAAAATTATAAGATCTGTTTCAAATTTGCACGACTTGGAGTTCAGCCTGAGGAATATAAATTTTGGAGAAAATGCGGTGACCTGCTTTAACCCAAG